CCAGACCGAGCAGAAAAGTCTGAAAGATTCTTATCTCCAAAGTAACCAGCAAAAAGCAGGGCTGAGGTGTGGTTTAAGTGAACAAGCAGTTAGCATAGGCCCTGGGTTGCAGTCTTGACATTAGCAAAAAAAAAAAAAAGTATTTGAACAAATGTTTGAAAATGTGGAAATTCATATAAAAACAAAAATTTAGCGTTACTTAAATATGGTGATACCAGGTTCACATTCTCATACATTAAAACTCAAATTTGGTTGGGGCTAAGAAGGGGTGTCTAAGTTGGTTAAGCATGCACTTTCAACTTCCCTAGTACAAGCATGGTGCTGCTAGCTCACACCTGTGTCCTAGTTGTTACTTGAGAGGCTAAGGACAGGAGGATGACAGTTTCAGGCCAGCCTGGGCAGAAAAGTTCATTAGATTCCCTTCTCAACCCATAGCTGGGCATGGTGGCACATACCTATCCTAGTTTCATGGGAGGTTGCAGTCCAGAGGATCATGGTTCTGGTTCCAGATCAGTTCTGACTACTTGTATTGTTTCCCTTCCCTTACATGTGCTGACGTTACAGGCACCTGACTTTGCAACTGCAGTCAGGAGACACTGGAATATAAACATGCCAAATCACCTAGTTGTATCATGTGAGCCTTGACTAGCTTTTGCTGTGTTTGCTTTGGGACATAATCTGGTTACTGATGTCCAGGTTAGTTTGAAATTCCTGGGCTCAAGAGATTCTTAGACCTCAGACTCTGGAACAGGTAGCGATGGCCGGCATGCACTGCCAGGCTGTGTGGCCGCTCAGAAGTAATGCAATGGGAATAGAAGGAGGCACCGAGCAATTTTTATCTACATACAGAACAGTAAAGGATCTTTTTCTTTTGTGAATATTAAGCTTATTGCTTTAAATTCAGTCTGCCTAGTGAAAATGTGACTGGGAATGGAAGGAACAACAGCAATGATAACTACATCTACCCAAGAGGGCATCTGATAAATGGATTTTCAAAAGCACAGGACCTCACACATGCTCAGCAATTACTCTACCATTGAACTTTAACCTCAGCCCTCCACAAATGTTTCATGTAAGAAAAAGGTAAAAGGGAATGTTTTTCAGCAGATGAAGTATTAATACACTCATTCACTCAAGCAACTGCCCACATGCCAGCACAGTGTTTCATATGAACTGACAGTGTTCATATGGAGATGCCAAGAAACATCATGTGCTGTACTGTTGGAGATTATAGTAGATTCTATTATGCTTTGCTATCTGGCATTTGCTGGGAGAAAAATGTTGCAACATGCTCAGTTTGGGAAATTAGTTCAGACTCATGTACATAAAATGTACAGTGTCTAGTTTCTGAAAAGTGCCTAAGTCTCAGAATAGGAACTGTTTTTCATTGTATTTCAGTGATGCCACTGGCTCCGGATCACGGTCCAGGTGTCAGAAGTAACAAGTGCAGCCAGGTGCCAGTGGGACACGCCTGTAATCCTAGTTACACAGGAAGTTGAGATCTGGAGGATTGCAACTGGAAGCCAGACTGGCCAGTAAAGTCCATGAGACTCCATCTCAAAATAATCAGCAAAAAGCAGGGCTGGAGGAGGTATGGCTCAAGTGGTTGAACACCAGCTAAACAAAACAAGTTCCAGACCTTCATTTCAGATCCCAATACTGCCAAAAACCAAAACAGTATAAACAAAACAGTGTAGAAAGGTCTGAAGTATGGCTTGGCTTATGTGGTAGAGCACCTGCCGTGTAAGCACAAGGCCTTGAGTTTAATCTCTGGGCAGTACCAATAACAACAAAAAATACTCTTAACCTTTAGAAAAAGTATTTGCTCAGGACCTGAGCTATTTATATTTAGTTGACTATTAAAGCAGTATATAAAGAGAAAGAATTGATATTCTATACATTGTTTCTCAAAGGCTAGTTCTCAGACCATATACATCAAATCACTTGTACTATCATTAGATATATACAATTTTTAAAGCTCTCTAGAAATCACAATCACTGAGTTTTCCAATTAAACTTAGAAGAGATCTGTTAGGTTCATTCATTCACTCACTAAATATTAATGCTTAATTATTCCCAAATTGGACTGTTTCAGAAGTTATCAGTACTAACTACCACACCCTACATTCCATGTACTATAAGCCAGGCTAAAACATTTTAAATATATTTGACTTTTTCAATAAATTTACAAGATTTTAAGGTTTCATTCAACGGACAACAGAACAAGTAAGCTGTCCAAACTCATTTAGCTAGCAAATTGTCCTGTTCCTGAAACCTAGGTTTGACTGTAAAATCTATAGTCTTTTTATTTTGTTGTTGTTGGCTGTGGGCTTGAACTCTGGGCCTGGGCACTGTCCCTGAGCTCTTCAGTTCTGAAGCGCTCTACCACTTGAGCTACAACACCACTTTCGGTTTACTGATGGTTAATTCGAGATAAGAGTCTCAGGGACTTTCTTGCCCTGGCTGGCACTAAACCATGATCTTCAGATCTCAGCCTCCTGAGTAGCCAGGATTGCAGATGTGAGCCACCAGCACCCAGCCTAAACCTAGTTTTAAGTGTATGATTTTCTTTCCTGAATCCAGTCAGCTTTAAAATTGTTTTACAGCATATGAGCATTTTCTTCTACCCACAGAAACCAAGTGATAAAGTATATTATTTAACTGTCAACGATAGCTAAAAACATTCTACAACAATCTAAGAGATTTTGCTCCCCTAAAACATTTTCTTTCTTTGGCTTATCTTTCAAAATGAAAAAGAAGTTCTGGGTGGGAGGAGTATAGAAGCTTGGTTGGCTTGGGAGTTTTCCTCTTGTGATTATGATGTAAATTCCACAAACACTTCTCTATCCATTGGGCAGAAAATGTTCCATGAACTGTTAAGTATAGTCTTGGTTTTGCAATTTTTAATATACTCTGATTAATGCTACCAAAAAGTTATCACAAAAACACCAGGACCAACTAGAATTTGCAGGAGAATTTCAGCGAGAAAAATATTGCCTAAGTTGGACTGTGGCCAGATGGACAACAGTTGCCTTGGTATCTGCTTTGATAACATCAAGATTCATCTATATTTGAATTGCAGAGCCCACACACACCTTTCAACAGTCTGTAGGGTGCCAGGAGTTGAAACTCTTGCAACTATGCTGACATCAGTAGACGATGCTGCAGATTACACTGCATTTGCTCCAAGTGTTGGCAAAATAGAAGCACTTTTTAAAGCTGGCATACTGTTTCTAGTTCAAGGCACTAAAATACATGCTATACACAAGGATGATTAAATTCCAAATTCTGTTTGTGCTAAGTGAAATGTGTTTATCTAGCAACTTAGGACAAGGACACATGTAATTGTTTAAGAAGGTTTAATTGTGAATGATTAAAGTACTACTACTGTTTAGTATTACTGAAAAAAAAGAAACACCCTCTCCCCCTTTTTTTGGTCGGTTGTGGGGCCTGAACTCTGGGCTTCAGAGCTGTCCCTGTGCTCTTCAGCTCAAGGCTAGCGCTCTACTGCTTGAGCCACATTGCCCTTTCCAGTTTTCTAGTGGTTTATTGGAGATAAGAGTCTCATAGACTTTCCTGCCCGGGCTGGCTTTGAACCGTGATCCTCAGATCTCAGCCTCCTGAGTAGATTACAGGCCTGAGCCACCTGCGCCTGGCTATAAAGATATTCTTGAGACAGGAAAATTTGCACATGGACTGAATTTCTTAGTTGTATTGATGAAATTGTGTTTTTCAGAAGAAATCAAATCCTTAGGGAATTCAAGCTGGGTATCTTAGGGGTTTGCATATAAAAATAGTGTTTGTCATCTATTCCCATATCACCCAATGACAATAAAATAGTATTAGAGGTATGAAAAAAAATACCACAGTGTTTACAACTCTTGGGATATAGTTGAAGGGTACAGTAACGGTCATTACATGCTTTTTCTTTTTTCTTTTCACTCCCTCCCTCCCTTTCTCGAAACCTCCCTTCCTCCCTCCCTCCCTTCCTTTTCTTTTTTGGAGATAGGATCTTGCTGTGTAGCTTTGTTTGGCTTTGAGCTTACAACACTCCTGGCTTCAGCCTTCTGAGTACCTGCCATGACAACAGACCCTTCTTTTAAACTCAGGCCTTTCTACTTGATAGGCAGGCACTCTACAAGATGCTCTGCTGCTTGGGCCACACCTCTAGCTATTTTTGCTTGGGTTATTTTTGATAGGGTCTCATTATCTATTCAGTCCTGCCTGCAAATGTGATATTTTTATTTACACTTCCCAATGCAGCTGGCAAGACAGGTAGACACTAGGTTGCCCTGCCTCTTTTGTTGAGATAGGGGTTTAGGAACTAATTTTTGACTGGGCTAGCCTGGAGCCTAGATCCTCCCTCTCTCTCTCTCTGACTTCCTGAACTAGGACTACAGGCCCAGGCCAATGACTAGTCTCTTTTAGCTTTTAAATATTAAAACACTTTTATGATAAAACATTTTGAAGGGAAAATATACTGCAAGAGACTTCAGGGGGCAAAGGAAGTAGCAAAGACTTGAATAGCAGGGAAGAGGTTGAATTTCTAGTAAACAGAAGATCTATAAAATTTAGCAGTAATGCTGTGGGCATACAGGAGATAATCATTATATTGATCTTTCTGTAAGTACCAAAGTAATGTTACATGCCTAGTGAAATGATAGGTGAATCTAACACAAACCACTGTATTTAGATGTAATAAGGTAGTGAAACTAAAACCAGTTCATACATAATGTTTGCCATAAAAGAGGTAGAAGTCCTACATAAGCTCAGCAAAAATTACTTCCTGTTGGAGCGAATGTAGAAACACATCTCCAAGGCTAACAATAATATCATGGATATAAAGTCACAAAAAGGTTACTGCTACAACCATGTAATTATCTGTAGAAGCAACAAGTAGTTAATTTTGGCTTCATCTCCACTAAAGATGTGGAAAGAAATTAGAGAAGATAGATTTGCATCGACATTATCTAGTGGCTAAGTATAAAATTTCAATTTACCTGAAAATTTTGGTCTTATTCTTGTAGCTTTAGGCGTCCAATCTGGAACGATCAAGATGATGGAGAGTTCGATTCGAGCCTATGCAAGGAACTATATGAGAGATGACATCATGTTCTTTTAAAGAGCCATATATATATATTTGCGTATGTTCTCATCTATCAAGTTGTTTAATAAACTGTTGATATGCAAGATTAGGACAGTATGCCCGAGAAAGGAGCGACAAGAGACAGGTAGAAAAAAATCCGCGGGTGAAGACAGGAGGCCGGGGAAGGAAATAAGACTTGGAGGCCTCGGCGTAGTGTGTAGTGGTGGAGAAAGGATTTTTTCTTGGCTAGCTGGGGGCAGAAATGATTCCCTTCCCGAACTCCGCAATCTTCAAAAGTCAGGGAAACGGCAGGCGTGCTGGGACCCGGGGGGCGTGACTAGGCGCGCCATTGTGCAGGACTCCGCGGCTCCGCCCCGCCGCCCGGGCGCCCGGCGGCAGCGGGCCCTCCGGCCCGCCGGCTCCAGTAGGACTAGGACGGCCAGTCGAGCGGCCTCGCCCCGCTGGGAGGCTCAGAGGGGCGGAGGGAGGGCGGGCCGCCGCCCGGGCTCCCGGAAAGAAAACGCTCTTCCAGCGGAAGTGGCCCCAAGCCCCACACGTCCTCGACGCGCCGCGTCCCCGGGGGCCGTCCAGCAGGGCCTGCCCCTCGGGTGGGGCCGGGGGCACACTCGCCGCTCCGCGCCGGGCGCGGGCTACCTCCTCTCCGCCCGCGTCCTACTCGGAAGTGCCAGATGCAACTTCCGCCAGGACAAGAGCTTTTTCTGGTGTCCACCCAGGTAAGTGACCAGACGTCTCAGCAAAATAGGCGCCTCCAGGAAGCCAAACCTGCGGCCCTGAGTGTGAACTACCTTTTCTAGTATGGGCGGTCTGGTCACCTGTGGCCCTTCTTTGGGCCTACTTACGGGTGCATCCCTTCGCCGACGTCTCAGCTGTTGCCCCGGGTAACGGTGAGAGTGAGCGGAGGAAAAGTCTACGTCACACTGGAAACAGGAAGCTAGGAAATACTCCTGCTGCCACCATCAATTATGGCTGCTCTAGCTTCAACAGTAACTTCCGGTTGGGAGTTGTCTCTCTACCCTGCCGGAGGCTTACTCTGTGGTCCCGCTAGCCAGCGGCGTCCAGTGGGCGGGAGGCGGCTTAGAGCAGCCCTGGCAAGGAAAAAGGCGGAGAGAGGGAAGTTGGCGCCAGTGCCCCGGTGTGATTGGGCAGTTTCACTGGCCATGGCGCCTCCTACTTTTCTTCCCTAGCGAATGAGCGGTCCTGTCGGGAGAGGTGGGGCGGGGCGGTCGGGGCGAGAGTGTGTGGAGGGGCGGGGCGAGTGGGGGAGGGGCAGCGGGGGGCGGTGGTTGGGTAGCGTCGCTCCTAAAGAGGAGGTGGAGGAGGAGGTGGAGGAGGAAGGAGGCGAGCGGGGAGGATGGCGGACACCCGGCTCCTGACGGTAAAGCTGGGCCGGACGGGGCGAAGGGTGTCTGTGGGTCGGTTCTTGTTGCTCGCCTTCCTGTCCGTCCGGCAGTCGGGCTGGCTGTCGGTAGGGGGAGGCCCCGCGCTCGCTGACAGGCGGGAGCCCGCGCGGC